CACAGTCGAAGGCTTTGGCATAGTCAATAAAGCAGAAATAGATGTTTTTCTGGAATTCTCTTGCTTTTTCTGTGATACAATGGATGTTGGCAATTAGATCTCTCGTTCCCCTGCCTTTTTAAATCGAGCTTGAACATCTGGAAGTTCACGGTTCACATATTGCTGAAGCCTGGCTTGGAGAATTTTGAGCATTACTTTACTAGCATGTGAGATTAGTGCAATTGTGTGGTAGTTTGAACATTCTTCGGGATTGCCTTTCTTTGGGATTGGAATGAAAACTGAACTTTTCCAGTCCTATGGCCACTGCCGAGTTTTCCAAATTTGCTGGCAGCACTTTTGAGTGCAGCACTTTCACAGCATCATCTTTCAGGATTTGAAATAGCTCAACTGGAATTCCATCACCTTCACTAGTTTTGTTCGTAGTGATGCTTTCTAAGGCCCACCTGACTTCACATTCCAGGATGTCTGGCTCTAGGTGAGTGAGCACACCATCATGATTATCTGGGTCGTGAAGATCTTTTTTGTACAGTTCTTCTGTGTATTCTTGCCACCTCTTCTTAGAGATGAGTTAAATATGAGCACAGTGTCGAGCCTGGAAGTGCAGCTGTGCGACCATTAACCAAGATGGGGAATGAGATAGGAAAGAACACATTTAGGAAAGAAGAACTTTTTAATGAGTTGAGGTATCTCTGGGACAATCATCTTGAAATGAGTTTAGTGGACAGTGTTAGACTCGAGAGAGAGGCACAGATAAGCATGGTAGGAATGAAGATTTGGGTGGTTGAGAATAGAGTTCCTTCTCCCATGGGTGAAACTGCCCATCTGCATCAAATGTTTTGCCTCAGAGCAAGAAAATGTGGTGTTTAACAGCACAGTGTCTGCTCAGAGAGACCTATCTTCATAGCCTGGCTCTGCTGTCTGTTTGACCTCTGGCAAAGTGTCTGAACTCTAAATTCTCATAGGATTCTTGTGATAATTACATGAGATGGTACATATGAAATGCTGAGCTTAGAAATTAACACATAGTGAAGCACCCAATAAATGTTGACAATTACTATTTTATCTTAAATCTCAGACTTGAGGACAATGTATTTCAAATTTCTGCATATAACATGGTATTCCATTAAGATCACTGTATTGTGTAGAAATCCCTTACAGAAAAATTCAGTATTCAGAAAAACAAAACTTTAAAACAGCTATATTAGATTTAAAATCTTTATTAGGATAATTTATTTGCTATATTAAAGGACTCTTTCTGAGTATATTAATTTACCAGCTGCAATTTAATCATATAATAATAGATTTCACTTACTGCTATGAGTAAATCCATTAATTAGCTCTGCTAGCACATTTGAAACTTTATTACATTCTATTAATAAGGGGTACCCAGGTGGCACTAGTGGTAAAAACTCAGTTGCCAATGCAGGAGACTTAAGAGACCCGGGTTGGATCCCTAGGTTGGGAAGATCCCCTGGAGAAGGAAATGGCAACCCACTCCTGTATTCTTACCTGGAGAATCCTATGGACAGAGAACTCTAGTGGGCTAACGTCCATGGGGTCTCAAATGGTTGGACATGACTGAAGATACTTAGCACTATATTAATAAGAACTCTACTTTCCACAACTTTTCAGCACTTTCACATCTTACTATATAAAATGGAATATTAAAAAAAAAATTAAAAAAATAAAATGGAATATTCGTATAGAATAAAAACAAAAAAAAAATCCAAAACCTAGTTTAATGGTTCTCAAACATTTTGGTCTCAGAATCCCTTTATACCCTAAGATTTGAGGACATCACCAGCCATTACCTTAATACAAAAACCAGAGACACCAAAAAAAGTAGAAAATTCAGGTCAATATCTTTGATGAATATAGTGGCCAAAATTCTCAACAAACCAATCCAACAATACAAAAAAAAAGATCATATACCATGATAATGCTGGATTTATACCAGGGTCACAAGGATGGTTCAACATACACAAATCAATCAATGTGACACACTACATTAACAAAAGGAAAGACAAAAACCACATAATCATCTCAATAGTTGCAGAAAAAAATCCCAGAATATTAAATATCCATTCATAATTAAAAATGTTCATCAAAGTGGGTATNAATGGCCATACTACCCAAAGCAATGTACAGATTTAATGCAATCTCTATCAAAATACCTAGGACATTTTTTACAGAACCAGAACAAACAATCCTAAAATGAATATGGACCTCAAAGAGTTTTTTAGGTTATATCAATTAATATTTTCTATATTGGAAATTAAACATATTGTTCCTTAGTTCATTTATAAATAATAAATCTGTTGCATGTTGTAATAAACAAATTATTGTTTGAAGAGTTAAAATTCTCTTCTAAGAGCTTAATGAAGAAACTTATCTAACATCCAACTCAGGTCTCCAGAATCTGTAAGATATTTACAGACAAGAAGCTACAGGTACCACTCACCCTCACAGCCTTCCCTGTGAATACTGAGCCAGTTGCACTGCTTTTAAAGGCTCTGGTCTGGTTCAGTTCTAGAAGCCCTTTGTGATACTGAAGGGCAATTCGAGCTGTCACTCCTGAGCCAGTAGGACTTCTGTCAACCTGTTTCAGAATAAATGAAGATAGTGTTCACAGTGTTCTAGTTCCACATTACCTTGCTGTGTGCCTAAAAACCCCAGCTTTAATACCTGTTCATCTGCAAACACACAGATATTGGTGGTTGGTTCCTCACTGTAAGTGTCTTTTCCATCTGTCAATATAGTTCCATATAGAAAAGCAAGATCTTCGCTGTCAGGATGATTAATTTTAAACTGTAAATAAAATAATTAACAACCACATGTAAAATAAATATTTTCATTCAAATTTATTTTTTAAATAACAGATATGGGTTCTTTTTGGTTTTATTTTTTCCTTTTTTTTCTTTTTAAAAATTTTTTTTTGGTTCCCACACTAAATATTGATATTAGAAATTACATATTTTTCTAGATGAATAAAGATACTTTTGTTGGAAGGTATGATTCTTACACTTTGAGCCCTTTCTAAGGAAGTCATCCTGCATGTATCCTCTACTGAAGGAACAGCCGTATTTCGTACACTTAACCCCTAAACATATGCACTCTTTGAAGCACTGACCTCAGCATTGACCCCAGGACAGTCAATTCACAGGCCAGCCATGGCTGCTCAAACAGGAAGAGAAAGGCAATCCTTTTCTCACCCTAAGGAGCTTGAAGAGGGTAATGCAGAAAAGTCAAGCAATGAGTATCTAGAGCTGAAATTAATATCACTGATAAACACAAGAACTGTAAGAGGTCAAGAGCAAGCAAAAAGTATAAGGTTGCAGAAGTTATTAGGTTAAGAAAAGCAATTGGATGGGGCAAAAACGGCTTATTATAAAGGACTGAAGTCAGTATCATAAAAAGCAGCAGGTACACACAGAAGCAGGCAGTGGCAGGGCAGCTATAAAGCTTGCTGCTACTGCTACTAAGTCACGTCAGTCATGTCCGACTCTGTGCGACCCCACAGACGGCGGCCCACCAGGCTCCCGTCCCTGGGATTCTCCAAGCAAGAACACTGGAATGGGTTGCCATTTCCTTCTCCACTGCATGAAAGTGAAAAGTGAAAGTGAAGTCGCTCAGTCATGTCCGACTCTTCGCGACCCCATGGACTGTAGCCTACCAGACTCCTCCGACCATGAGATTTCCCAGGCCAAGAGTGCTGGAGTGGGTTGCCATTGCCTTCTCCAGTAACGCTTGATCAGGCTCAAATGTGCAATGCTTCCTGTTCTTCTTGGAAGGTCTGGTTGTTTAACTTCTGGATTTCTGTAACATCTGTTAGCCTGGCCAAGATGACTATAATCTTACTTCTATTGTATCCCAATGGTTAGTACATTCCCCTACCACTTACCTATCATATAAAGCAGTTGAATAGACTGGAGTCTTAAAATCCAAGGAGTCCATCTATAACTCAGTTAAAGAAGGCTGCATATTGGACCTTTGTTCTCCACCCCCTTAAAACCCCCAAGCCCGCTCCATGATAGCACCAGCACATCACACTGCACACAGGGATGGTTCCCCCACTAGACTGAGCTCCTTGACGGTGGTGGGGTTTGTTCTTCCTCTGGTCTCCAGCATCTAACATAGTGTCTGACATACAACAAGTCCTTGGTAAATGGTTGTTTAAAGGATAAGGACAAATTTATATTACATCTACTTCAGCCCCCTTCCCTCCCAGTGGCCTTTGCCTATATCTGCATAAGCAGTATCAGTGGTCAGCAATTCACAAAGTAGACCTACTGCCTGCTTCATCACTGACAGAACTTCTCATATTTTCCTCAGAACCCTTCCTCCCTCAAAGTCCGCCCCTTACCACCTTAGTGAGACGTTCTAGCTTTAACGAGAAGTTCAAACTTCCTCCTTTTATAGGAAAACAATGCCTTTTCCTCTTGATTTTATTTAAAAATAAGGTCAAATTATTTTGTGTCAAATTGTTAACTCAAACTATTAGCTGTCTGCTTACTGGAAGAGAAAACAGATGTAAGTCCAGAGTTTCAGAAGTTTTCATGATAAAATAATTCTACATATTCGTATTGGAAGTCCTGGAAAAATGATAATTTAGAACAGGGTTATAGTATATATTTTCCTTTTGCTATTTAGGTTATAAAGTTATAGGTTATTTTATTAAATTAAAGCCTCAGATATGTTAAATAGGCCTTAAATAATTATTAGTAGAAGTATTCTAGATTCTATCTTTCCTAAGTTATTTTTACCTAGAACGATAATGAAATTTTCATATGCTAAAACATTCAAATATGTATATGAGTTTTATATATAGGTCCTAATTAGGTAAAATGTCAGATTTGTGCTAGAAGTGAAAGAATATTCTAGAATTACTTATTATCAAAACTGATTTTATAACAACAGTTTTCCCAAGTCAAACTGGAGTTACTTGAGTTATTACTTGGAGTTATTACTTCTCAGCAATATAGAAAAAATTCACTAGCTAGGAATTAATATTCTCTGCGAAATAAGAGAAATTCTGATCAGATTTAATGAAATCTATTTTGTAAGCTATATTTGACATTCATTATTTTCAAGTTTTGCAGAATGACCACATATATCAAAAGCATTTCAAAGTGTAATATTATCTATTTTCTATTTGTTTAAGTAACCACAAATTATATTATTATTACTTATTATTGAAGTTAACAGTTGTCATTTGTTAACATTTACTATGGCATAGGCACTATTCTAAGTCCTTTACACATACTGACTTACAACTCCCTATGAAGCACCAATTTCATAATTTCCATTTACAGATAGGAAAACTGAGGCACATGGAGGCGATGTAACTTGTTCAAGGTTACAAAAGTTACAAATGGCAAATCTACAACACCCAGGTAGTCTTGCTCTAGAGTTTAAGATTATAACCAGCACCCTGTTCTTAGCACGACTAGTAATTTAAATGCAGAGAGGAGGTATTTAATTTTCTGTAGAGACATGTCATTTATATTTCCTTCACGTCACAGAGGAGGCTATCAGCTATGACAGCAGCATCAGTACTGACCTGAGCCTTCACTGCTTCTGTCACCGCACTTGCCGCAGCCACGAGGTCCCTTGTCTTTGCAGAACAAACATCGAGTCCTAACTTTTCAGCACTAACAAATGCATAAAATGCACCACCATATGCAACGTCCACCACCACCTTTCCATGACCGGGAACATCCACCAGGAAATCTAAAAGAGATGTGTTTGAAAATAAGTTTTAGTATTTCAGCAATAAAATTCACATCATTTTAAATTCATGTGTATTAATGGGTGGGGGGGAGCAAAGAGTATTTTTTCCTATCTTAGGAATGCAGCAAAAATCAATTTTGAAAATGAATGTGCATCAAGTAAATAATAACAGACCCTTAGCTAAGTACATCTTTCTATTTTTAATTTCAATGAGGCTTGCATAAGTTTTAGATCTGAATGCCATGTTTTTCCTAAATCATACTTATATATTTTGTTAACTATTCTGAGGATCTTTTCTAGAAAACATCATTGAAGCAGAGAGAGAGGAAACTCTGGGATATGAATGTGTGAAACTATGAAGGAAAATGTAGGTCCCTCTCATACTATTGGGAATGGTTTAAAACAGTGAGGATTTGGGATCCTATTCACAAACTGGTTTTCTTCAGCTATAACGTCAAAACAAAATGAAAAAAAAAATTTTTTTTTCTATCCAAGTTACAGATACTTATTTATCTAGAAATTTTCATCTCAAGGAAGTATCCTGCAGGCAAATATCCAGAATAAAGCCATTATAGAATCACTGGCCTTTACAGTATCATTTTGCATCAGGGTTTTTATTTGGGTATTTTAAGTCCCTGACATACCTCAAATTTCACCTGAACTGCAGTTGTTTGAAATCCTGAATTTGTATTTCCAAAGGAATGGGCTGGTGATATTTTGGGACATTAAAACTGTTTACCTTTCTTTGCATTTTCTTCTCTTTCTCCTCCTTAAGTCAAATGGGCTTAAAGATCACTGCCTCTGGGGGAGGCATACAGCAGGGGAGAAAGCAGGTCTTTCAGCTTTTGCTTCATAGAAACCTAAGTTATCAGGGGAAGATTTGTTGGCAAAGGAGTGTCCCAAAGGGAGAATAGTCCTCCTGGTCAGTAGAGAAATTTCCTCTAGGCCAAGAAGAGACGGAAGGTTCTGACTGCAGACCTGTGTGGTCTTTCCCACAGCACAGTGAGGAGGCTAAGGGATGTGGCAGAGATAGCAACAGGAAGAGGGAGGAGGAGAAATGGGCAGGGGCCACTGGATGGGGTAGATGATGTTTTCCTGGTTAACTATGCAGTGGTTAAGGCCCTTGTCTCCAAGATGGAACTTTTAAGAAACCTTTGCTCACACATATATCAGAAGAGGGCCCATGGAAGGATGAGGCAAAGTCAAACAACAGGGCAAAGGGGTCTCAATTTAGAAATTAAGTTATGGAAAGTCAAATAGTTCTTATACTCTTTGGTTTGCACAGTGAGTCATACAAAGACACCAGGGAGCTATCAGTTTCAGAGCAGAATCACAGAATCCTTTTAACACATAATGTGTCAGAGCAAATTTATAATCAAGAGTAAAACATGTCAGTGGAACTTAACAGCAAAAGAGGGAAATGTTTTATCTTGATGCTGATGCAACATGCAAAGCAGGTTTAATGAGAGGAGACTGAGGAAATAGATGGAAACGAGGGACTGCCAGAATGGGGAAAGCTAAGGGTGGCTTTGGAGTCCTCATGTAAAAAATGGAACTGTTTCCTTCCAAAGAGGATTGTTTTGAGAATTCCATGTGATAATGTGTGGGGAATGCTTGGCAGATTAGGAATGCAATAAATATTAATATGAAAGCCCAAAGTTAAACTCCCAGCAGGAATAGGGCTCTTACAAGGACCAACGAACATATTCTGCTCTGAGTTTCATTTATTTACTCAACAACATTCATTGACTGCATACTGTTCTAGTACTTAAATACAGCGATGAAAATTAGTTTTCACTTTAGCTGGGTGGCATAGCAATGAGCTTAGCAACTCTGAGGTGGGGACTATTGTTATCCTCTCTTTATAGATGACACTGACGCATAGAATCCCTTCCACAAGGTTAGAGATGGGAAGGGGCAGAGCAATGATCTTGAACACTATCAGTCTGCCTTTTAAGCAACTTTCAAAGTAGAGGATTTAAGGATTTCATTTTCTTAATGACTCAAAGTGACCATTAATGCCCACTGATTATTTTATGGTCACACAGGGATGCTTTCAGGAACTAGTGTGCTTGTCATATTGGTTGCTCCCACTCTAACCAACCCCAAACTATGATGTACACAGCTGGTGATCCTGCTGCCAGCTGTCATTTCCCACAAAATCCAGAGTGCTTCTAATCCGCTGCTGGGGTGGCCTGGGGGCGGGAGTCAGGTAACCAAGCCAGTTAACAGTTGAGATTTTTTAAGATGCAACCCTAACATAAATTCTTGTCTCCCTTATGTGCCCTCCCAATCCAATATGACACCATTTCTTCTGGGCAAATGGTATCAGTTTTCCCAGTGGCATTCTTTTACCAACTTCTGTGTTTCAGGAGCCTGAGGTTGGTCTAAGACTCTCAAACACCTGGGCTATTACTGCATCATTCATAACATTCATAAACAGGTTAATCGGGAACCCCAATCCACCTGGAGGCTCAAGATTAAATTAACAGAATGATTTGCATGGCTTGAAGTCTCTGAAGAAAAGGAGTGATAACCCTATACCTGTACTGACTAAATTAGCACACAGCTCAGTTCTAGTCAGACTACTAAAGCCTCCTCTGATAGAATTCAGCCTTTACTGATAGGATTTTTAAGGATCTCCCTCTTTGTAAAGATTATAATTACATTGTTTAGCATGACATACAGGCTCTGTACTAGAGAACCCACAAAAACCTTTTCAAGGCTCTGCACTCCTAGAGAACTAGCAACCTGATATATTCTGCAGTCTTTGTATCTCTAGGAAGATAGACACTTTTTACAGATGAGCTCCAGCAATCTGTGTTTACTAACTTGTCAAGCGGCGATAATGTGCTCAGCAAGCATATTCTGAGCCATCCTGGAGCCCTGTTCGTGGTTGGTCTTTGCACTTTCCTTGACCCTAGGTGGACTTTGCTTTATCCAACTGTGAAATCTTCAGGAATGCCTGAGAGAGGGGAACGAAGCTTTTGAGTAAGGGAAACACGGAACTCTGTACTCCTCAAGGCTCTCCCCAAACCACAGATGGATACTTCTGCGAGATAATCAATTTGGGTATTGTCGAGTGGCTAAGTCGTGCCCCACTCTTTGCGACTCCATGGACTGCAGCCTGCCAGGCTCCTCTGTCCATAGGATTTCCCAGACAAGGACACCGGCGCGAGCTGCATTACCTTCTCCGGGGATGTTCCCAACCCAGCCTCCTGCGTCCCGCACTGGCAGGTGGTTCTCCACTGCTGAGCCACTAGAGAAGCCCCAAATTGCATGCATTACACAAATTCACAAGGCTAAAATGCTGACATCCACTTGCAGGATTTAGAATTACCTTCTGATTGATTGTAAAAGCTTGCGGGGTGGGTTAGTTGCGCTCGTGGGCTCCAGCCTACAGAGACAGTTAGTGTAATTAGTTGGGTCCTGGGCTACAGGGCCGAAAGAGTCCCGCCGGTTACCTGCGGCCAGCACAAAGGCCGGGACACTGTGGAAACGCACCGGGCCGCGACTGCGGCCGCCCTCGCACTCCACGAAGGCGGCCACCAGCCCGCACGGGCAATGGATGTTGACCAGGGCCTCTCGGGCGTCGGCCGGGGGCGCCGGCACCAGCCCGAAGTCGAGCGCGAAGCGGCCCAGCGCCAGCACCGCGTGGCCGCACATAGAGCTGTAGCCCTCGTTGTTTAGGAACAGGACCCCCAGGTGCGCGTCGGGCAGCTCGCTCGGCACCAGCACGGCTCCGTACATGTCCCGGTGCCCCCGGGGTTCGAACATGAGCCGTCGCCGCACATGGTCAAGGTGCTGGCGCATGTAGCGCCGCTTGGCCAGCAGCGTGGGGCCGACCACCTCCGGACACCCCGCCAGCACAATGCGCAGGGGCTCGCCGCCTGTGTGCATGTCCACCACCGACAGCGCCGGCGTCCCCGGGTCGTGTGGAGGCAGCCGGGGCACAGTCAGCGGGCCCGCCATAGTCTGCCTCCGGGAGAGAACTCTACCGCCACGCCGACGCGCGCTTCACGTCGCGAACCTACCCACACCCTCTGCCCTACAGAGGCAGGCCTTGTGGCCGGCTCAGGGGGCGGGGCCTCCGAGCCGAGACCCGGAAGCGCGAGGAGGGGCGGGGCTTCGGAGCGGGCTCCCGGGTTACTAGGAGGCGGAGCCGTCCGGGGCGCATTGGCCCGGATGTCCGGGCGCGGTGGCTTAGTCGGTTAATCCCCGAGTCTCTCCAAGTAAACCTACAAGCTGCTGATGGGTGAGTGGTCGCCAAGGTCCTGGGAAGCGTTTATTTTAGTCCCTGCTTCTACCCTACGCTGCCAGCTCTGCGCTTGGCTCCAGCGGGTGGCGTCCGGATAGCGGCAAGTCCTTGTCCTTTGTTCCCACGCGTTTTTGGCCGAACCGAGGTGGGATGGGGATAGTCTCTGCTCCAGGCAAACCGAACTGGGGAACCGACTGCACGCGGGAAAGCTCAGGCCTTTGTGGTTTATTCAAAATGTCACCTCAATTCCTTTTTTCAGTCCCTTTGTTTAACATTCCTGAGGGTTAACTTGACAATTTAAAGCGCAGGCGTTAAGTGCAGGAAAACAGGAAAGAAAACAAATTAATGCTGCTTTACTGTTGTGTCTAACTTCAGCATCAAACGTAAGTTTTGGGGGCCGTTCCCAAAGGACCGTGACAGTTGCAAAACAGTTAAAAATTCAGATCTCCTTTACTATGGGAAATAAAAGGGGAAAGTGAGCGGACAGTGGGAGCTAGGTTTTTTGTTTTCTTTTTTTTTAAGTGGACAGTAAGCTTTTGCTTATTGGAGAAGGAAATGGCAACCCACTCCAGTATTCTTGTCTAGGCAGTCCCATGGACGCAGGAGCCTGGCAGGTTATAGTCCTTGGGGTCGCAAAACTGTCGGGACACGACTGAATGACTAAACAACAAGCTTTTGCTTTCAATTTATCATTGCTGATTTTCAGGTCTTGGGTTCTGAGAAATTGTAGATTATTTACAGTCAGATGTATTAAGCAACTGTTGGAGGCAAAATTGGTATAGAAGAAGTTTACAATTTTTTTAACTTACGTGTTCTCAAAAAATCTGAAGCAACTCGCTTTGATCTATTAGTTTTTGGTCGATTAGTTTTGGTCTATTAGTTTGTGATTACAGTTGGTTTAAAAATAAGTGCTGAACTTTCCTGGTGGTCCAGTGGTTAAGAATCTGCCAGCCAATTCAGGGCACAGGGGTTCAGTCCCTGGCCTGAGAATATCCTACATGCCCCAGAGCAACTAAGCCCCTGCACCGCCAACTACTGAGCCAGGGCTCTAGCGCCCTGTGCTTGGCAAGGAGAGGCCTCAACGAGGAGGAAGCTCGCTGCAAGCCAGAGAGCAGCAGGGAAGACCCAGGGAGGCCAAAAACAATAAATAAATATAAATACATAAATAATAAATGAAAAGAAGCAACTGCAATAGTGAAAAAAAATTTTAAATGCCAAGGTAAAGAAGCCTGTGGGTTTTTTTTAAAGTCAGAAATTTGACAAAGGTAAACACATTAAACTTGAGGCATTTTAGTCTGTGCTATTTGTATTTTTCTCAACAGCACAAGGAGAAAGAAAAAAGTCTACTGTAATTTGAAAGAAGAAAGTATTGTGGATCAGGCAGTCTCTAGATTGTGAATTCATGAAGAATTTGGGAAATGATTTTTCAGGAAAAGCTTAATTTCTCCAATTCACGTTTGACCAGGACTTATTCCACAGTAGGGTGTAGGTTCTTTGAGGATATGGCCTCTGTCATGTTCCCCTGTGGATCTATCTGGGTCTCTCACCAGTGGCATCACACTTAATGCATGTTTACTGAGTGAATAAATCAATGATTGAAGGGAATCAGATGTCACTGATGAGAAAAATTCCTTTGATGATAACTTTTCCCTGTAGGTGAGGTCAAAGACAATCTGTAGGCCCTGAGTTTTTTGGTTAAAAAGAGCTGCTTTGTATGTTGTCTAAGGCTTGAGATCAGAGGGTTGATTCTGAGGCAGTGCTTCCTAAGTACTGTTCAGAGGCCCAGTGACAGCCTTGATGAAATCTTCACCTGTCCTCTACAAAAATGACCAAAGTTAGGATAACTTAGTAGGCTTCTTATGAAGTGAATTTATTTACCTTAAAGTCCTTGTATTCTGAAATTGTGTCCTTTCTGCTTTTCTGGTATTAAAATGTATTCTGTCATGAAGGGAGGTGATAATAATTTTCATGTGTTTTAAGGCATGACTTCATGTTCCTTTGAGGCAAAAATCCTGTATTAATCCTCTAGTTTAAAAAAAAAAGGGTAATTCAAAAGTCTAGACCATCCAATCAAAGTGAGTGACTGGCTGGAGCCATTGGAGACATTCCAGGCTAGGCTTTGAGTCCTGGGCAGAGTCTGCCTTGCTGGATGAAGACCTTGATCTTAAGAAACAGTATTAGCAACAAGGTTCTATGGAACCTTCAGTAGTGTCACAGTATAAAAGGAAAACTAAATACATGGATCAAGACTTTTGTCTAATACATACTTTTTTCATTGAAACTGTGTTGAGATAATTTCTGCCAACTGTTTCAGCTGTTATTACCTAATTTTTTATAATCACAAAAGATGTTACTGTACTGGCATTTGTTTTTAAAAAGCTGTCGATATTCAACCAGCATGCCTTGGACTTTATTGTGGGAAGACCCTGTTATTTAAAAATGGCTCAACTGAAATATATGGAGAATGTGGGGTAAGTCTTAACTTTGTATGTTATTTCATTTGTAAAGTTTGTTTGCTTCTGAAATATTGGGACATGTAGAATAACTTTTTTCTTCAGTGTATTTCAACTTAAAAAAGAATATGGAGGCATTAATAAAATTCTCATTTGTGTTGCCATATTGACTGTCTGTAATACATCTTTGTGACAGTCACAGTTACTATTTTTTAATGGGTAATTTAATAATTTCTAATTACTTTTTATTAATGTAAAAAAGTAACTTGGACAAAAATTTAACATTACAACTCCAGAGCATTTCTCTACAGTTTTTATATGATGTTAATAACTAGGTTTTTCATGTAACTTAGTCAACTATTTTAGTAACTTAATAGAGCATTATACAGGTATAACAAATACAATTTAGACTTTTTTATTTATGTTTTCTCTTTTATCTTTAAAAGATGCAGGTGTAAACAAATGTTTAAACTGAAATATGACATCTTAGTGAACAATTTTGGGAGGGTGTTAATGTTCTAAAATATCTGTACATAAAATACTGTTCTTATATATTGTAGGTGTGTCCAAGAGGACAGAGAACAAATGCACAGAAATACTGTCAGCCTTGCACAGAGTCTCCAGAACTTTATGATTGGCTCTATCTTGGCTTTATGGCTATGCTTCCTCTTGTTTTACATTGGTTCTTCATTGAATGGTACTCAGGGAAAAAGAGGTTAGCACTTTTCTCTAAATGTGTCTGAATGCACTGATGTTGGAATAGTTGTCATTTAGAAGACCTTATCAAATAATTATACCTCTGTTATTTTACAAGTGGCAGGCTTGTTTTTCTTTTATCTTCTGATTACTTTTGACTGTGGCCAGAAAACAATGCTAGAGCATGCCTCAGTAAATATTAAGGGAAATGTCCTTTGTTTTACTCTGAGTGAAGCTGGAGGAATATTTTATAATTTTTATTTCTTAATTATCTTTATTGGTTTTTTGCAAAGAACTGGTTGTGATTACAAACTGTTTATTGTTCTAAAACAAAAATCTTTGCAGTTTAATACTAGTACTCTAGTATAATGTAGTTAAAGTGTTATGGCTACAACCTAATTATGAAAACTCATACTAAAAGTCCACAAAAACTTACTGAGCATTGTGTTTGTTGTTTAGAAGATCAGGGGAAGAGATATAAAAATAATTGATGTGGTTGATAGCCCTCATCTTATAGAGAAGACAAATACATACATAACTAATTATAATACATATCAGTCTTGAAAGTATAGAACCAAAAACTGTATAAAAGCTTTATAAATAAAATGGTCTAGAGTCACAGAGAATGGAAGAGATAAAATTGTGCCTGGTGTCACCTGAAACACGTCAAAAAAGGAACATTTCAGGCGGAGGCAACAGTGTGAACACTGGCATAGAAGTCTGAAACGTGATCTCTTATGGGTGGGAATGGGAGTAGTTGGGTGTTCAAAGTGTGCATAGCATATGAGAGAAAGGTAATAAAAAGGAGGGTGAGAAAGGGGTCGAGGCCAGAATGTGAAAGTTCTTGGTAACGTGAACCTTATTCCACTGGGAATGAGGAACCAAATTCTACCATAGTGCATTCAGCCATCCTGACTTTTGGTTGCTCTTAACATCTCAGCATCTTTCCTGCTTTAGGTCCTGTCCTTTTCCCCAAACTCTTCTCTGCCTGAAATATTCTCTTCTCCCTGCAACTTTTTACCTAGCTGCTTTTCCCCCTTTCCAATCTCAGTTTAAATTACGTCTACTTAGAGAAGCCTTCACTGACCCAATCTAAAGTAGGTCTGTCCTCATTATTTTTCTCTTTTAAAAGCACTGCTGTTTTGTTGTTGTTGCTCTGTATTTAGCACTCAGCACAGTTTGTAGTTATGTTTGTCTCCTCATTTCATGTTCTCTCCCACCCCTGATTATAGGCTCCATGAGGGCCTAACAATGGTCGTCGCCATTGTTATCTGGAATCTCCAGAGACCAGCACAGTTGCTGGCACATGATAGATACTAGTTATTTGCCAATGAATGATTTATTGGTGAAGGTTTTTGTTTGGAAAAAGAGTATCTTAGGTATATATTTTAAGAAGATGACTTCTGTGGAGGGCAGATTAGAGGTAAGACATATTAGAAAGCTGTTGTCCAAAAAGTAGTGATGGCTAGACTCCAGTGATAGGAACGGAAGTGAAGAGGATGGTCAGATGGAAGTAGAATAAGTACTTTTCTGGACCTACCAGATAAGTCCACATTGATTATTTACATTGGAAAAGCATTCATTATTTTTCAGAAAAGAAGCCATTAAATTTTTTTTAAAGCAGCTGTCATCCTGCTTTT